ATTCCTGAGGACTCAGGTGTTATTCCTCTGTGCCCAGTAAATTCACGCCATATCCCACCCTTCAAACCTTCAAAGCATATCGTTGGCAGTAACTCAAAAACATTGGGGAAATATATTTCTGCCATATTATTTCTCCGTGACTACGTATTGATATGAACCTCTCAAATCCCGATACGCCAGACGTAACGCGCGAGCGTGTAATTTCATCAATAATGATTGACACTACTTGTTGCTTATTTTTCCTTTGCTCAACTGTGAGATAGCGGTTTTCAGGATGTAACTCAGTATGATTATGCGTTCATCCGTTTAAGCGTGAATAAAACAATTGTTCCTCTAAAAGAAAAATACAATTGTGTAAAACTAGCTGTTTCTCGCAACTCCGCCCGCATGCGTCCTTGCTAATATTATAAACTAGCTAATGCCCGCGAATTTGTCGCGTACTATTTGTTAATCCTGTTTAGTATGTTTCTATGAATTTACCTACCTATTATATTATCATCAAAATTAACAAGTAACCGGACCTTTTCACTCTTTACCTTAGGTCAAAATAACTTACGATTAGGACAAAATTATGTATAATAAAGATTTTAAAACTCCCACTGTTGTCTCACTGAAACTGCGTAGAGATGTTGCAACTTTGTGCATCTTCTATCAAATTTATCATGGGGATTGCTCTTAGAAATTCTTCGGATTGATACTTGCTGCTGATTTTCACCACCATACAACTGAAGTTTCATCCCAACTATCTAGACGAGTGGTGGTCTTCCACCGTGCGCTTTTCAAGGCACTTTCTTCCACGCACAACCACTCTTTGGAATCGACTTCCAGCAGCACTATTTCCGAACTGATACGACCTTCAAGAAAAGAGCATATTCCTTTTTAAAAGATCGGCAGCACACCTACAATGCCTTTGGTGTCATAGGTAATCATGGGAGGCGATAGTCACTTACTATCAAGTGAACCGCATGCTCGTTTGCCCCTATGCTGTAAAAAAAAACCCTCTAATAGCTTAACCAATAACTATGACCTTGTCATACAAATACCATATGGGATGGAGAAGAACATAAGCTAGTTTTTATTTCAGTTAGTGAACATATCCCAGTAACGTGGACGAAGTTGCGGGTAAAAGCCAGTTAGTTATAAAGTTTCCTATAATCTAAGGTATAACCTATCCGTGTACCAAATTTAATTAAAATTAATTTCATTAAACGCTATAGATACTTTCTCCATTCGGTGTTTCAAGGTTGATTGGAAGAAATCCCTTCAAGGGATAAGGCGGCCTGTGTACATTTTCGTTATAACCTGATATCTATATTAAAAGTGAATTTACAAAAACATTGAAATGAATAAAAATAGATAATAATAAAAATAAGTAATATACAAGCTTTCGCATTTATAATAGTAGGTAATAAAAAACAGCATTACAAGGAACAGATAATCTAAATCACAATAATTTCATATTACAGTTCAATAAAAAAATATTGTTACAAATACGCGATTGATAACTTTAAAACTAAACTAAGCAGTAATAATTATTAAATTCATTAGACTTATACAAAAGATCTTTTAACTCGCCATTTTTATGAAAACTTTTTATGAAATAATTGTAGTTTCAGAAAGTTGTAATCTGTTGGGAAGAAATGAAAGGTAACCAACAATTAATTTAACAATTCTTTTTTTAATTTTGTGACATGAATATGAAGATGTATATATATATATATATATATATATATATATATATATATATATATATATATATATATATATATATATATATATATATATATATATATATATATATATGCAATAAATATACGATATTAATTAATTTAATTCTTTTAATATGTTTCTCTTTACTTATTTATATGTTTCTATATGTTGTTATATACATCTATTTATGTATTTATAATTTGGGGGCTTTTGTCAATAGTTGCCACGCTTGGCAGGCGGATTGGCAACCGCAGTTAGGCTTTGGTAACGTTTTAAAAAGAACGCTGCTGCCTCTTCTTTTAACCATTCCCTTGGTAGGAAAGGAAGGGATATCCTTTTCTATGATTGGATACAGTCATGATATGATATATTCAAAATAGGTTACTACTTTCCACTAGAAGAATCGTTACCATTTTTACCATCTTGCATGATTTTATATCATTTATTTAGTGGTGGTGTAGAGGACTAGGTCGATGGGCTCCCTATAATATGGTTGAACACAACGATGGCTGACTCATTCGTCATACTCATAAACGAGTATTTCTAGCAGGGACTAGCAGGGACTGTTCAAGAATACTGTAATTGATTGTATCTTTTTATTTTCTTTCTTTTTTTAAATGTCAAGTTTGTAATAGTCATTTTATGCATTTATATTTTAAGTCATGAAGATAACTTTTATTTGAAAAAAAACAACAGCTGCGTTTCTTGTCCGTTCTTCTTAGCTAAAATCGTATTCCGAACTAGACAGTAGATTCATAAAAATGACTATTCAAAAATGCTTATCATTAAAGTTACTTGAATAAAAAATATTTAATATTATTATTATGTAATATTATTAGTTTTCGTCTGGAGATATGATCCTCGTAAAATTTTCACAACAAACCACTACTACGTCTACGAGAACAACAAAGAACTTTCTGGAATGTTCCACTAATTATTTTAGATTTTTTTCATATTTTCATGATTCGGTAAAAGTAGATAAGCCGATTATTAATAAGCAGCTTATATTTTGAAATTTGACACGTAATTTTTTTTTTGTTTTCATTAGTGGCATTTACGCCGAAATTAGGATATTTTGCCAAAAACAAAAAGGGGTATCGATAGTAATAATAAAAATATCTATCTTAAGCGAATATGAAAAGGATTCTAGGACATTTATAGGATAAATAAGACAGAACTTGTACATATGAAAAAATACTTATATATTTTTAAGGGCAGCAAATGGTGCGTAGACTTTGTTCATCTTGTATCAACGTAGGCAGAGAATCCCGGTACTATTCCTAATTTATGCACTTACATCAAGTTCCTAAATTTTTTGTCTTACCGCAGTGTTTAACAAAGTGGGGTACACATAGCACTTGGGGTACACCTGTTAATTGTAGGGGGTACGCGACAAAATTTATGTAACTGACGTATTTAAGAGTGGATATTTGCATCTGCAGGTCATGTTATAGACGAAATACAGGAATCAACTGAACGCTAAATCTGATTTAAGAATTTAAGAAACATTTTTCTGAGAGTCGATACCATTTGCACTAAAACAAGCATACTCATCACTTTAAATTGATTAAATAATAGAAATAACATTTGCTATCGCTCTTTTGTTCCTTTTTTATTATAATACCTTATTTGTTCTATCAATAATGTTATAAGGGGTTAGCCATGGGTTAGCAAGCTTACGGGTACATGGAACCATAAGTTTAAGAAACCCTATCTTCCGATACTAATTTTTAGCTAAGATAAATAGCTATGAAGTTCAATAAATATTTTTTATCTATATAAATGTTCATAAATACATTCATTAAAGTATTTTTCTTAAGAAATACTTTTGATTTAAATAATGTGTAGTGATAAAGAGAGGAGATACAAACAAATTAATGTAATGTATATTTTTTTTATTTCTTAAACAAACCTAAACGACGTACATAAAGAAAAACTGAATCAATCAACTCAAATGGTTACTGTTTGAAATTCTTAAAGAACTAAGTAGTTAAGTGATTAACTCAGAATATCCAAGTAAATATATCTACCCTCAAGCAGTTAGAGTCGCTCCAGCTAAAACGTAATTAGCAAATTCAATTTATCTTTAGAAAATATTGTGTAGTTTCCTTTTTGTTTCTGTTTTAAACGTGTTCAAGTATTTTTTATGCCATTTTATATTTCCAGTGGCATAAGAATATTTATATAGACAAAGGTTACCACCTGCAGGCGAGCACTCAGCTAAATTTCTATTGCCAACAAGCTCTCAATTATTCAATTTAGAGTGATAATCGTGATGTAAACATAACTACCATCATAGACATAAAAAAAATATACAGAGTCACCAACGATGCTGATAATACATATGTAGATACACATATGGTAAACTTTACTTTCACTGCTTGTCTCCTTATAACCTTAACTTTAGGCAGTGACTAAAAAATAAAACGTAAATATTCGTGGATTAAAAAAATCGTAAATTTAACACAAATGACCAAAAACCAGTTCAGTCATTTGCGACATGCGTCTGAAACTTGTTACTGCGTGGTTTGTTTTTATTTTTTCTTTTACTATGTCTATTGGTTCATCGTAAATGTTTTTCCTTTATTTTTGCTCGATTCGTGATATCTTAATCTATTTAATAATAAATATGATACTTTGTTAATCAACATATGTTACAATTGAAGCAAACAAAACAAGCTATTTGTATTACATTTGATAGTATTTCTCGAGAAAGATAAGAAATTAATTTTTTTTATTTATTTTAATAATTATACACTATTTGAGTCTACTAACGTAGAAACTACGTATGTATATATAATTAAAATATAAAATTAAAATTGCTTATTTTTACAATCAACATGTATAATCTTAAATTTTTAGTTAATATTAAAAAATAAACGTGAAAGAAGTCATTATCCTTGTATGTATTTATTCGTTTTCTTTTAAGCATGCACCTAAATGTGTCTGCGTATATCCTCACTTTTGCGTAACATATTTTATAAATAATACCGACGTACATATTTTTCTATTAGATAAAGTATACTTATAATTCATCAAAGGTCAACCTTTCAACCAAATTGCCAAGTAAACGATGTTTTCACGCGTGTACCAACTCATGCCACTTGCGATAATCCCTAACGCACAAGTCTCCCGGGTACCATATTTTGTTGTGGAAATGCGTATATAATTTATTTATTATCCATAATAATAATACACCATGTAGTCCATATTTTCCTTTAATTTATGAGGATTACTTACTTAATTTAGAAAAATCAACTTAAAATTAAAATATTATTCAAATTACTCACCATAGGTCAGGAGCTCTTCACACTACAACGATATTACTGCGACGTAAAATATTTATTTAATTCAGAAACAGATACATATATCTATCGTAAAGTACAGTAGTCAACAGGTAACACAGATACGAGTATTCAACAACAGTTTTTAAATATTTCAAAAGTTACAACAAGTTAACCGCGAGGACGCAGCATCATGATACTATAAGAGTCGTCCGTAACAACAACACTAGGAAGACTAACTCAAGCGTATTCAGGAGATGTGAAATTAACAAGGCAGAGCGGAAGTGAAGAGTAGGCATCACAGGCTGCGCTGGAACTCAACTTTAGAAAGACACAAAACAATGACAGCAAAACAAACTAAAATAAAACTAAGCCGGAAAATAAATGGACATTGAGGTATTGAGTTCACGCGCGACTCGACTCGAGCGAGTTTGGATCAAATGTGATATGAAAACTCTATAAGATTCAACAAGTGGTTTGCGAAGGCGGGCGGCGCGGGTCCCGTAGTAGGACCTCTCGGCGGGAAAGCTCGCCTACCAGTGTCCCGAGGCCGCGTACCCGCGTCGTCGCGTAGCTGCGCTTGTGTGCGTTCGCTAGGCCTCGCTCCACTCTACTCCCTTCATTGTCGGTGTCGCTGTGGTGCGCGTACTGCTCTGTACGCACGCGTCTGCGGTCGCAAGTGTGCGCGCTGCGGACATGTGTGCGAGCGTGACGCGCCTATGGGTCTGGTACAGGTGAGGTGAGCCCGGGCCGGCCCTCAGCTAGCTCGTCCCTGTCCTATCTATACCGCTTTTACAATGAAATGGCTGGCTGAACATAAACTACCTGCGTGGTACTTTAGTAGACGCATGTAGCCTGTGTGCCCCGCGTGAGTCCCCTTTTGTTTGGCTGCTGCAGGTTTTTGTATAGAGGTATTATATTAAAGCTTATGTAGCAATTGTTGTTCGCATGAAAAGCTCGGCATTCTTCGTACTTGTGAAACGTTCCTGGGAAACTTTCGCGTGCCTTACTGGGCTTCGGCAAATATTTATTTTATATGCTTATCTACAGGAATATCATGCATTGTTCAGATTCCGGCGTAGCGGATTATCTAACATTAAATTGGTTTGTTTAATTAAACAAGGGGAAGAGTTAATTACCTTATGAGGTGATCGTTAGTAAATGTAAGGCTTGTTGGTAATAAAGTACGAAATATCAGGTTATTATTAGCTAATTAATTATTTGGTAATTATATGTAAGGTTTTAGTTATAGCAATATTATATTACTTATTGATTAAATTGTCTGAGGTTTCTTGAAATTGATATCTTAAATTACATTACGAATTACATTGTTTTAATGCATATTTTGTATGTGTACATGTTCATCAATATTAGAAATGTTATTAAATAACATTATTTATTTACTTTAGGATTTCTATTCTACATTACCCGTCTAATATTGGACTAGATGGAATCCCTACCGGATTCTACTTACAAGCAATAGCTCAGTAACGTAGCCGGCTAGCCAGCTGTTTGTAGTCTCTGTTATTGCCACTGCCACCTTAAACTGATCGCCGATCGCCATCTAATAAAATAAAATGATTAAATTATAATCCGTCATCATCTAATCACTATATAAGTTATCATCATTATCAATCATATCAATCAGAGTACCTGTCTATTGCTGAACATAACTGCCATAAAGAACAGTCTCGAGTTACCTGCATCCACCGACTCCCTGCAATGCCTTTCACGTCACTCCATCTAGTAAGAGGGTCATCCTACACTGCGTTTGCTTGTACGGAGTCACCAGTCAAGAGCATTTCTTCCTCATCAATTATCAGTTCTTCGAGCTATGTAACCAGTCCAGCTTGCTTATCCTTTGGGCTGTCAGTTTCTTTGGTTCTTCTGCGGATAACCTTATATCCATCGTGAATCATAGTATACTGTAGGTGTGTTTATAGTGTAGGTGTCAGCTTTACTCACGTTTTAGATTCAGGAATGCCCGACCAGCTTCAAACTGCATAGGAGCCCTTATTTATGAGCGCGGTTTACGGCTGTGTTGCGAATAGCATTTCACGACCATCATAAATGTATTTGAAACGTGAGTAAAACCGACATAAATAATTATAAGAAGATAATTATTAAATTCGCCGTGTAGTCCTAGCATAGAACATGCCTCCCCTTACTTTCCCGTGTGTGTCGTAAGAAGCGACAGAGGGCAGACAAGAGATGGGCAGCAGCGTCCCTCTTAAAATATCTCCAAAGCCTAACTGCGCTTGCCAATCCTTCTACCAAGCGTGGCAACTACTGGCAAAACCCCTCAAGGGGGAAGCTTATGTTCAGCAGTGGACAGTTAAAGGCTGATATGATGATGATGGTGATGAATTATTAACCCTTAAAAGCCTGATTTTTTTAATCACATTAAAAATATATAAGTGTACTCTTTACTGTGTTTATTAATAGGGAAAAATAGTAAAAAAATCAAAACGATATTTTTATATATTTGTTTTGAAAAAAAAAACATTTAGTAACATGTAAACAGCCAAATATTAAATTGTAGGCGCCCATTGCGATTTATAACCCCGGTATCAAATTTGAAACTTCAGGTAATTAAAGGTTAAATAAGTCTAAAGTTTTTACATGTTTAATTTAACTGTCTCTCTCGAAAGTACTTCGGACTTTTCGTGAAAATTCTCTCTTTAATATAATAGTTCTACATATTATTATACAACATCTTATCTACAATATTTCTGGCAAATAAATTTAATTTCATAAATTTATTATTTTTATTATATCAACCGTTAACTGTCCAGTGCTGGACATAGGTCTCCAGTATAAGGGGCGTCTTCTATATATATATATATATATATATATGTCAGTATTTTGTTGTTTGTCAGTTTTTTAATAGGTAACCCCGTCTTCGCTAACGGTATACACTGGCGGGGCACCAGTGATAGATGATTGATGAGGATGAAAGCAGGTCAGTTAGCACATCCTGACGAATTCAACTAGAAGTAGCCACGATGGTTTCCAGGGAAAACCATGTGGAGGCCAACCTGACAGGGTATATTGCTAGTAATGGGGCTATTTGACCCCATTACTAACAATCCCTTTCCCCCGTTGTTTGTCAGTTAGGTATTGTGTCAACCAATGTGATACATAGTATCACCACATGACAGATTTAGAATTCAGAGTCCTTCCATTTATGTTTCAGTTGTTAGGACAAGTTAAGACAAGCTTCGACGCGAGTTTGCTGTTGTATAGAATAGTTGATACGGTAATTTACGGTATTTACAAAACTTCTCTATTATCCTAATTTAACGCAAATTATTCAATACGGTCTTGTCTCTATTTTCTTAATGCTATCAATTTTCAACATTGATTTAGCGATTATTATTTGAGCAATTTTATAATTAAGTACAAACCGTGGTAAAAAAGGTAGTTTCCATTATAAGGGCCGTAAATAAAACCTAGAGGACGCTAGTTCGAACCACTACAACATATGTATACACTTCCGCGCAAAAAACAAACGCTAGCCATCTTATTTTATTGTGTCGTCAAAGATTTTGTTATTCCTTTTTTTATGCGACTTAGAATGGCAAACAAGCTATAGCTAATAGCTAATAGTAGCCCATGATATCCCCCATGCGTTGCCATTCCTGAGGACTCAGATGTTATTCCTCTGTATCCTGTAAATTCACTACAATATTATACTCTTCAAAAGGAAACACATCTATGCAAACACAACTGCTTCACGGTAGAAACACGAATGGGACAAAGGTACCCAAGCAAACGACTTTTACACAAAATCTCTCTCTGGTGAGTTCTTGTTCTTAGTGTTTAATCAATCCATCTCTGTTTTTTTTTTTTTGGTTCTGTTTATCCCAAAGTAAAACGCAAAGTGCTTTATGCATACAGCTCATGTATATCTTAATAATTAATTTTAATTATTTTTAAATTATTTGACAATGTCATGGAATTAATTAAACGTATGTTGTCGCTGCGTTCGGAACAATTTTTCACCACAATTTGTGGCAGCCATATAAATTAAAGTAGAATTCTTTTCGGAGCGTAGGTATAACGTATAAAACTTATTTAAAAAATAATTTATGTTATGCTAACAATTGTGTTGCTAGCTATTGGACCAGACACAATAGACTAGAAAATATCGACATAGTACCGGAATCTCTCTTATTTCTGTCCTGTTATCAGTGCCTACCAGAGAGGCATTTGGGACTTGAAATATGTAGGTACATAGCCTTGATTTTATTATTGTCACCGACATTAGGGTCAGAGGTCAAATTAAAGTGTTAAAGTTTACATTTTATTCGTATCACAAATTCACTTTTCTATGTAAATATACTTTGAGTAAATGATAATGTTGGGTATGATTGGGTACAGTAAGTAGACTTACCAAATTACTTGCAGGGTGTGTGGGATGGATAAATAATAGGGACATATTTTTTGAGGGTCCAGTGAGTTTAGTTTGTATACTTTTTCTTCTTTCAGAATATATCCATATTTAATAATTACCACGTAATAACTATTCCTAATAATATCTATAATAATATTATAAAGAAGAAAGCTTTGATAGTTTGTTTATTTATTTGTTAAGGATAAACTCATAAACTACTTATTTTGAAAAATCTTTCACATATAATAAGCTACATTATTAGTGAGTAACATAAACTATATATTATTTTCAAAAATTTGATCTACCGGTACGAAGCCGGGCCGGATCGCTAGTATATTATAAATTTGAAAGTGTCCAAAAGTTTCTGGAATACTTTATATACTAATGTACGCAGGCAAAGCCGCGGAAAACAGCAACTAGTTATAGTATCTCATCATCATCATCATCATCATATCAGCCGTTAACTGTCCACTGCTGAACATAGGCCTCCCCTTAGAAAGTATAGTATATATTCGTATTTAAATATAAAAAATATTATTTTAGAAAAATAATCTTAAATGAAAGCATAATCTCGTAGACAAAATATATCATGTTACGTTTTCCTTTTGAATAAAGCAACAACAAAGTAACATTATGTACCTAGAATGTTAGAGGAAAACTTTAATTAATAAAATTAGTGTTTGTCGGGGACTCCTTAATAAGATCGGTTACAAGTTGCGTGTACACGTTTTTGTACAAAATTACAGGTTGGGCATATTGGAATTGAGGAACACTACGCGTTTTTAGTGAAATAAATAAATAAATAAATTAAAATATTTTTATCGAGGTAAACTTAATTATAAGGATTTTTGAATAGTCATTTTTACGAATCTATCGCTCAGTTCGGAATAAATTTTCAGCTGAGAACAACGGGCAAGAAACTCAGCTGTTACTTTTTTCAAGTAAAAGTGAGTTTACGACAAGAAAAAATGTGAATGGACTAAATGATTACCAGAAACTTCATATTGGTTAAAAAATAGACTAAAATCAATCACAGTATTCTTGGACAGATCCTCTTGAACCCATGTTATAAATGGAACGATAAGAAATAAGATGCCTCTTTATTTCAACATTTTACATTTTTATAGATA